AAAAGCTTGCCCTGGTGGGCGCCCACGCATTCGCGCCAGGGCACGGCTTCGACTTCGAACGCGTGCGAATACTGGGGCGGTCAGACGACTGAACTTCACGCCTGCTGCAGGAAGCATGACATTCACGCGCGGACTCAATTAACAGGCATATCGAGCTTCCAGATGCCTACCTCGCGTTGCGCGAGCAGATCGAGGGCAGAGGTCAAGGGCAGAGGTCACTCCCGGCAGAACCGAGTTACATACACTGTGAGCTGTACATTTTTCATTCCTTGACAATGAGGCCGCCGGGAGGGTTCGAAACGTCGGACAAATAAACCCCTGGTCCCAGAGAACGTTCTACCTTGTTCTATATTGTTTGATGTATGTGGTAGAGAATTACAAGCGTATTTTGAAGTCAGTAAGTGGATATTTAGTTTATTATTTTCGTATTGCAGATTAAAAACATTTAATTTTTCAGACCTCCAAAGGAACTAGCGTATTCTTTAAGATATTATTATGCGTCTCTGCAGGTTCTGCATTTTTTAAAGAGTGCCTACATCGAATTATAAATGAGAGTGGATACGTCGATAAGGTAAACTGCCATAAGACTTACTCGTCGAAGGAAGTACCTGATCAGGTAAGACTGAATATAACTAGTCTGTCCAAACATACGACAAATGTGCTTCGTGAGTGAGTTTGAAACACCAAGGTCCCCCGTTTTTTCATATTAAAGATGGATGAAACCCTACATATATCATTGTTCATAGTACAACACTAAATATGCCTGATGGATAAAATAAAATTCGATTCAGTGACAAAGAACACTGTATATGCAAGGATTCACAACTTCGTCATGGTTACACTGCAGGCATATAATTACAAAGAACTTTGGTAAACGGCGGTTCTTAAATGCTGGTAGCTAGTAAGGCCAAACTACGCATTCTGGTGAACTAGATGCAATAGGAAGTGTCTGTGCTCACCTCAAGGCTATCTCGTTGGTCCTCAATTGCTTCAGTTCTAGCCCGTATCTGCAAGTAATCATCATGCTCCAGTCTGAGCTCACATTCCAGCTGGCCACAGCGCGTTTCAGCCTGTCGCATGCGTTCCTCTACATCGCGCAGTTTAGCCATCAGGTCAGACACCTCGCGCTCCAACGACTCACAACGTTGTTTGGTGTTCTCGAAATGCTGGCGGAGGTCCGCGTTCGTACCACGCTCATTCTTCAAAAACAGAGGAGGGGAGGAGAAACAGGCTCAAACAAAATGTCCAATTTGCAGAGAACGGGTACCAACAGAGACCAGAGAGACTAGAATTTCGCTTTCTGGTCTCCACTACTATTATTATTCTCATTGGCTATTAGTAAACAAGGAAATCCCGTAATCGTTTTGGACGATTGAAGCGTCATGTGGTACCAGAATGCCAAGGAATAAATAAGGTGTACTTTCAGGAGTAATCGTGCATGCGCGATTACTCCCGAAGGCGTTGACTGCGCTGCCATCGTACGAGAGCCTGAGAATTACTTAAAACAATCATGGGAACTAGGTTAGCATGAAAAGCTAATTCACCAGGAAGTCCAACGGCCAACAGCAGTGGCGGTATAGATTCGAGCCGGTACTGATAGTGATGCATTCTCCACGCACACGGTTATATACTGGTCGATTCATAAGCCTCCGTCTCTATTTATTGGGCAAGTTGATATCACTTGTTTTTATGTATTATCATTTGATATACTGAATTTAATTAAATGGTTAATGCTCATTAGTTCTTAATAATGTCCTTCCTTGTAATTTTTTTATTTGTAGCTAAATATGGTTGCATTATAAAGATTTGACGGAAGCAGCTACTGATAGTGAATTTTCGAAAGCCGATAGAACTGTTTTATTTTGCCTGCAGTAGTGCACCAGAGTTGCACGAAAGCCTACAAAATGTTAAGCAAAATTCAAATCGCACATAGTACCACTAGGATAACAGTTCAATATTGGAAGGAGAAGTTTCAAGAAACCAAAAACTTATACATTAAGCTGCGATCGCGAAGACCTTCTGATGAAATCATAAAACGGGGGTAAATTTCATAAAGGGGGATGATGGTGCAAATCAGTGAGAACCTGCAAAATTCTGTTCGCAGATAAAGGTGTTTTTGTTTCTTTGTGGTTTCACCTAACGGAATTGTTCAGTTTATTCTTGCGGTTGTTGTCTTTTATTTTTTCAGAGACGGAGATCACTGAATCGCACGCTATACTATTCAGATCAAGGTTTTTGTCCAGTTCAAATAGCCTCCACTGCCCCGACAAATAGACATGTTGATATCCACCTAACGATAATTAATTGATTGCTTGTTACCCTGTACCTTTCCCTTCCATATAAATGTAATGGCCCGAAGATAATTTTTCAAAAGTATGCGTACGTTCGTAAACTGCCCTTCTGATTATGAAAAATGATTTACAAATCTTCATATTCTGGCCACAGGTTTTGATAGGTCCATTTGCCTTAAAAAATGATTGCCCCTTTTTGCATACTCAACTTTGCATTCCTGTGGAATGATCTATATTTTTCATGCAGTTTTCACAAGTTTATTTTGCAAACTTTCTACAATTCAACTGCTAAACTTTCCTGGAGAATATTGATTGTCAGCTTCAGCCCGCAAGCAAGGAAACTTACAGAACTGGATTTTAACCTCGAGTTTTCCAACCCGGAAATTAAGCTGTAGCGGACTGACAGAATAAAATAAACCAGTAATTGAACATTGGCCTACATTAAAGTAGTGGCTTCCTCAAGAGCTTACTCGAAGAGATTCCGCATTCCTCTTTACTTCGGCGTCCAGAGCTCGATTCTCGGCCTCTAGTTCTGCTGCTCTCTCCCGGGACACGGAATGCCTGTGTGAGAGGTCATCGCGATCTCGTGCCAGCTGACGGTTTGCGGTAGTAAGCTCTTCGATACAGGACTCTAGTTTTAATTTATCTTTGTTGGCCACTTCCACTGTGCTCTGTGAAGAAAGAAAAGAGCGGTTTTTATGTACGCTTTAAACTGCAACGAAAAATAGCCAAATCTTATCTGGAATCCATAACCAAGTCAGACCAGCGATACTTTTTAACTGGTGGTAATTTCGTAGTACATCAGAGGGAGAGAGAGTGTGTATGTGAGGGAAGTGAGCGCTACCACCCGATTTCTTTCCTTTCCATCTACCGGTGGTAAATGCCCACCATGACTGTTAGAGTTGCAATCGAGCGCACTGACTAAAGTAATGCAACTCCTCCGTCCACAAGCCACCAAGGTGTTTGGAAGATATGCACATTCAAGTGAACGTATTGGATAGTTATAAACATTCAGTTGCTATTGTCACAGAAACCTGTATTCGCACTGTCACCTGCTGCACCAGAGGGGGAAGAA